AAAAAAAAAAGCCAATTAAAAAATCTTAAAAATATAAAACCGGCAGAATCGGTAGGGCTGGACTCTCATCTCCCCCTCTAGCCATGGTGCGTACTGGCTGACTGGTATACCTGAGAGAACAAGAATCTGGATGATTAGCTCTTTTTCAGGTGTGATTTTCTTGTCTCATCTCTGTTTTATTCTCCTCCAGGAGAAATGGGTTCCATGAGGCAAGTGTGACCCTGAAGCCCAGCCCTGCAGCCACAGCCCGACACCCAGCTGGGCAGGCAGAGCACCATGGATGGCATCATTGAACAGAAGAATATGCTGATGCACAGTAAGATCAACGATGCTGGCAAGAGGAATGGCTTAATTAACACCAGAAACTTCATGGCTGAGAGCAGAGATGGCCTGGTGTCTGTTTACCCAGCACCCCAGTATCAGAACTGCCGGCTGCTGGGCAGTGCGGCAGCAGCCACCCTGGACAGCGGCAGGAGTGAGCCGGTCCAGCAGCTGCTGGACCCCAACACCCTGCAGCAGTCAGTGGAGTCCCACTACCACCCTAACATCATCCTCTACTCCGAGGGCATGCTGCGCTCCTGGGGGGATGGCGTGGCTGCCGACTGCTGCGAGACCACCTTCATTGAGGACCGGTCACCCACCAAAGAGAGTCTGGAGTACCCCGATGGGAAGTTCATTGACCTCTCAGCTGATGACATCAAAATCCACACCCTCTCCTATGATGTGGAGGAGGAAGAGGAATTTCAGGATCTGGAGGTCAGATGGGAATGGGATGAGGTAATTTGGTGGGAATCCACGAGAGCCTGGCAAAAATTAGGGAATGAAACTAGTGTGATAAAATGCAGAGAAACTGAAACATTTTGGGTGCCCCTTAAACTCTCTAGTGTTTGTGGAAGATGGGAGGAGTGGAGAGAGACTAAATGACCAAGACCAGTGAGGGCTTCAGCAGGAATTCTCATCAGAAATGCCCTCAGGTAATAGCTGTGGTGATGGGGCTACAGGTGGACTTAAAGGCTGGCAGCACCAGCAGGTCACTTGGGGACTCCCGCTAACACCCCACCCACAGGAAAGAGGGGTCATTGGCAAAGTGAACAAGGTGAGAAGGACATGTGGTGCTAGGGCGGCAAAAGGCTAGAAATGCATGTGTGGTGACAATTTGGGAAGTATTTTTGCTGCCACACGTGCATGGTTTCCTTAATTTGGCATGCCAACGTTTCTACTGAAGGCTC